TTTGTGTATTTATGTTGGCTTGTTTCACTATATTTGTGGGGTCCAAAAAACGGAGAACCTGCAACCAAAATGTTGGAACCCACAACTTTAAAGGACTGTTACTTGATTTAAGGGTTAAGGTTAGGTTTATGCACTTACTTGTGATGGTTATAGGGTAAGGGGTGAGGGAATGCATTATGTAAGTGACGGGTCCCCAGGAATGTGGGTGTGTGTGTGTTGACACACACTAAATGAAAAGGAAACTCCTTCAGACTTACTTATCTTTCATTTTATCTTTAAATGTTTCTTTTCTTTTTTTCTGTAACTAAAAAAAAACATTTATGGAACAATAGAACACCATGTAAAACACTGTTTATAGAGGATTTATTGTGGAGAAAACAGGGCTTCAGGTGTTGCCAACAGTAGTACACAGAAAAAGGTTTATCTAAGTAAAAGACTTAGACTTAGAGACTTAGACTTCTCTTTATTGATCCTTTTGGGATGACTCCCGCAAGGAAATTGAATTTCCAGCAGCTTACAAAACAGTGTAGAAAAATAAAGAGGTATAAAAAAAAATACAGTACAAGATAAACAATATAAACAATAAAGTCTTTGCTAGATATAGAAAGTAGACAATAAACGGTAAACAATAAACGCTTAGCTATATATAGAAAGTAGAGATAATAATAAAAATAAAAAAGGTTAAAATTCACAGGAAATGAAATAAAATAAGATAAATGTAGAGAACTGTATAGAGGATACATATAGATAAATAAGGATAAATATATAGGACAGTATATGGCATTGTGTTGTTATACAGTCGATAAGTGGCATTGTGTTGTTAAACAGTGGATAAATGACATTAAGCAGAAATTAGCAGTTAAATTAAATTAAATTAAATTATTGCACTTAAGTGGTAGATCAAGTTATTGCACAAAAAAATAATTAAGAAAAAAAATAAGTAAGAAGAGTGTCCAGGTATGTATGAGTAGATTAATATTGCACAGTTATTGCACAGTGAGTGGCTACCACTCCTTTCCTTCTGTCCTCTTTACCCTATTTCCTCCTCCCCCCGAGTGAGGAGTTGTAGAGTGTGATGGCACGAGGGACAAAGGAGTTCTTGAGTCTGTTGGTCCTACACTTGTGGAGGAGCAGCCTTTCCCTGAACAGGCTCCTCTGGTTGCTGATGACGGTGTGCAGGGGGTGGCTGGCATTGTCAATAATGTCCAGCCTTTTGTCCAGTGTCCTCCTCTCTGCCACCGTCACCAGTGAGTCCAGCTTCATGCTGACCACAGAGCCAGTCCATAAAAGTCATGAGTACTTCTGTGTAACAGTATAAGTACAGCAGTTATAGCATAAGGAGTTCAGCATGCTGTTACACTGCGAATTGCAGGTTGATGTGACAGCAGTGCTTTGAGTTGGTCATCGAAAAGACTGAGCAGCTGAGGAAAACACATGCAACAGTGCTACCTGCTGGCTGAACAAGTGTGGTGCAGTGAACACTGAACCACTGGCAGTGACTCAGACTACAGTAAAGAACTTTTTGACCTACAAGAGTTTTCAGAAACCTGAACAAAGACACATCCATTAACACCTCAGTTGTGTTCACACCTCTGACAGTAGAAACACACCTATTATTTGGTGAAGGCGCCTCGGTGAATGAATCATTAAGGAATAAAAAACAAAGCAGGGCCACAGCTTCAGCCTCCACCTGCTACTGCTCCTTCTTCTCCACAGCAGCTGGCTCCTCAATGGCTGCTTGCTCATCCTCCTCCTTCCCCACCTTCTTCTCCTCCTCCTTCTCCTCAGTCTTGATCACCACAGTTTCTGTCTTGGTGACTGTGGTACTCTTCCTTTCTGCTCCCTCAAGGGCAGCGACAGAGCCGCCGCTTGCCCTGACACCACCAAAGGAGCAGCTGACGTAGGACGGGATGCGGGAGTTCTCCAGGCCATAGACATTGTAGTTCAAAGCTGCATATTCAGAAGTAAAAGGCCTCCATTAACACAGACATACAGTAGTGGGAAAAGAGTTTGGACATTTGCATGTAGACGTGTTTGTAATAATCTATCTGTTTGTATCTGCAAAGGTTTTGGGGGAGTTCTGTGTTCTAAGCTCTTATCAGAAATAGGACTTGGTGTGGGCTTGAAAAGCCAGTTGAGACATTATATGTGATTATCCATTTAAATACCAGTCCAACTGTGGTCTATGACCACTTCCAGTGTGCTCACTTTCCAGACACTACAGTTTACAGAACATTTAAAGTGCAGACATTGAGAGCAAATTCAGCTGAAGAATCTCTGCTCACAATATTCTTAGTCTTCTTCCTGTTGTGTTGGCTTATTCATCCTTTGAGAATGTGCAAAGATATAATATGTATGGCTCTTTAATCAGTAACAAGTCACATGTAAAGGGACACATCAGAGTGGTTAAAAGAGTGCTGAGGCGATGTGGGATTGAAAGGTGGGAAAGTCTTTAGTTGTCCACATCAGTGACTCAAAGATCTTGTTCAGGTTACATTCACCAAGTAATTAGATAGATAGATAGATAGATAGATAGATAGATAGATAGATAGATAGATAGATAGATAGATAGATAGATAGATAGATAGATAGATAGATAGATAGATAGATAGATAGATAGATAGATAGATCGATCGATCGATAGATCCTCCCCTCCCCTGGGTGAAGTTGAAGAGCCTCATGGTGTGGGGGAGGAACGATCTCAGTGGATGCAGTGGATTGTCCATGATTGACAGGAGCCTGTTCAGCGCCCGTCGCTCTGCCACAGATGTCAGGCTGTCCACTCCTGATACAGCCCACAATAGCCGTGTCGTCGGCAAACTTTTGCACGTGACAGGACTCCGAGTTGTATTTGAAGTCCGACGTGTACAGGGTGAACAGGACCGGAGAGAGCACGGTCCCTTGCGGCGCTCCCGTGCTACTGACCACAGTGTCAGACCTGCAGTCCCTCAGTCGCACATACTGGGGTCTGTCTGTTAGGTAGTCCATTATCCATGCCACCAGATGTGAGTCTACTCCCATGTCAGCTAGTTTGTATTCCAGAAGGCGAGGCTGGATGGTATCGAAGGCGCTGGAAAAGTCCAGAAATGTAATTCTCACAGCACCGTTTCCCCTATCCAGGTGAGAAAGGGATCTGTGCAGCAGGTACACAATAGCATCCTCTACTCCCACTTTCTCCTGGTACGCAAACTGCAGTGGGTCAAGGGCGTGGCAGACCTGTGGTCTCAGGTGGTGTAGCTGCAGCCATTCTATGGTCTTCATCACATGTGATGTCAGGGCGACCAGGACGTGGTCTCTTTGGGATTGGGATGATGCATGATGTCTTCCACTGTCTAGGGACCCTCCCCTGTTCCAAGCTCAGGTTGAAGATGTGCTGTAGGGGGAGTCCTAGCTCAAATGCACAGGCCTTCAGAAGTCTAGGGGATACTCCATCCTGCTGACAGCAGCAGAAGGGGGTATGGTGACCTGAGGTGTGAACGGGATGGGGTGGTTGAACCTGCTGAAGAACTGGTTCATCAGGTTTGCTCTCTCCGTATCTCCCTCCATGTGGGCCCCCCACTTTGAGCTGGAGCCGGTGATGATCTTCATCCCATCCCACACCTCCTTCATGCTGTTGTTCTGCAGTTTCTCCAGCTTCCTTCTGTACTGCTCCTTCGCTTCCCTGAGCTGGACTCTGAGTTCTCTCTGTACGCGTCTAAGCTCCTGCTGATCTCCATCTTTAAAGGCCCTCTTCTTCTGGTTAAGAAGACCCTTGACGTGACTTGTAATCTAGGGCTTGTTGTTTGCACAGCAGTGCACAGTTCTTACAGGAACAACAACATCCATACAGAAGTTGATGTAGTCAGTAGTGACGGTGATGGTGTCATTGCAGTCATGCCGAGGTTGTGTTTGTTGTTTTTTATTTTATCAAAGGTGTCTGATTGGAGAAATACATAAGGTATGATGTGGATAACTTGACCGTTTTCTCCCTTGTGGACACCAGAATGCAATTTTAATGATTGTATGATGAGTTTTGAGAACACAATGGCTTTTAGAGCCTCACATTTTTGTTTTGTGTCACCTATTCTCAAAACTAAGCTCCTGTTGCTTACAATGCATCAAAACAACGGACAAAAACTGTAGCTTCCCTTGACTTGTCTGTCTGTGTCAAAGACAAGATTGAAGACAGAACATGACATTTGCTGATATTTCGTAGGAATGCACAACCTTCAATTCATTTTGTTAAAGAGACCTGAATTAGTGTGTATCCAGCCAGAGGCAGGTGGAGACATGTCAGATGTTCCAGAGCATTGTGTGAGATGTCATTATGTCATGTAAATTGTCTTTGTTGAACTCTGTTAAAAGTACAACTTGTTTGTGTGTGTGTGTGTGTGTGTGTGTGTGTGTGTGTGTGTGTGTGTGTGTGTGTGTGTGTGTGTGTGTGTGTGTGTGTGCGTGTGTACTCGTGGGGTCTGATAGCTTTATGTGGACCAAAATGTTGGACCCCACAAGTTTAAAGGGCTATTTGAGAGTTAAGACTCTCTGTGAGGTGAGGGCATAGGTGGTGCTAGGGTATCAGATATGGGGAAGCTAAAGTATTATGACAATATTATTATGACTGGGGGTGATGCATATGATGAATAAATACATTTCATTTGTTACTGAGATACAATCAAATTGAATTTTACCAGTCTTCACACAAATTTTCTTTAATTTATCCATCATCATTATACATTTCATATGCATGAAAAAGTTGTTTGTGTGTGTATAAGCTGTGTCAGAGGTAGACAGAGGAGCTTCTTCACTGATGTCAGGACAGTGACAGACTAATTACGTTGAATACCAATGTGTGGGTGCTGAATGGCAGATCTGCTACTGAACTCACTGTATGTGATGACAACATTATAGCTACGTGAGGGCCTTATGTTTTTTCAATGATAATTTGAGTGACGGGTCTCCAGGAATGTAGATGTGTATATGAGACTGAACAATTGAAACAAACACAACAGAACCATGCAAAACACAGTTTGAAGAAGATTTATTGTGGAGCAAACAGGGCTTCAGGTGTTGCTAACAGTAGTACACAGAAAAAGGTTTATCTAAGAAAAAGTCATGAGTACTTCTGTGACTGGTTTTCATCTTACTTAACTGTTTAAGTACAGCAGTTATAGCATAAGGAGTTCAGCATGCTGTTACACTGCGAATTGCAGGTTGATGTGACAGCAGTGCTTTGAGTTGGTCATCGACAAGACTGAGCAGCTGAGGAAAACACATGCAACAGTGCTATCTGCTGGCTGAACAAGTGTGGTGCAGTGAACACTGAACCACAGGCAGTGACTCAGACTACAGTAAAGAACTTTTTGAGAGAGTTTTCAGAAACCTAAACAAAGACTCATCCATTAACACCTTTTCATTAAGAAATCTGAAGGAAAGTTGTGTTCACGCCTCTGACAGTAGAAACACACCCATTATTTGGTGAAGGCACCTCTGTGAATGAATCATTAAGGAATAAAAAACAAAGCAGAGTAGGTGTGCTTTTTCTTAACCTCCTCGACCAAATCATAAATCTGACAAAACAGGGGGGAAAGTATCACTCCTCAGCCACAGCTTCAACCTCCACCTGTTCCTGCTTCTGCTCATTCTTCTCCACAGAAGCTGGCTCCTCAATTGCTGCTTGCTCCTCCTCCTCCTCCTCCTTCTCCACCTTCTTCTCCTCCTTCTTCTCCTCAGTCTTGATCACCACAGTTTCTGTCTTGGTGACTGTGGTACTCTTAACTTCTGCTCCCTCAAGGGCAGCGCCAGAGCTGCCGCTTGCCCTGACACCGCCAAAGGAGCAGCTGACGTAGGACGGGGTGCGGGAGCTCTCCAGGCCATAGGCATTGTAGTTGAATGCTGCACATTCAGAAGTAAAAGGCCTCCATTAACACAGACATACAGTAGTGGGAAAAGAGTTTGGACATTTGCCTGTAGACATGTTTGTGATAATCTCACTATCTTTTTGTATTTGCAAAGGTTTTAAGGGAGTTTTGTGTTCTCAGCCCATATCAGAAATAGGGCCTGGTGTGGGCTTGTAAAGAATGAGACCACCTTTGACTGACCCTATCCTGTTAGACTGTATATAAAATATGTGATACGTTTTATGTTTTCTGATTTATTTTTTTAAGGGTTTATACTGTAACATGGAAAAAAAAAACATGTGAAACACATTAAAGGTTTTTTTTTTACCTTGGTTGAACGTAGACTTACAAGTCTGCTTGGATACAGTGGTCTTGATTCCAGTAGCTAACCTGTGGAGAAACAAACAAAAAAAAAACATCAGGTATACAGAAATATAGTCCTTCAAAGAAAACATTTCTCATCACTTCCACAGGCTCGTGCCAAAGTGCTTTCACAGTAACATCTTACCTGTCCTCCTCTCCTTCCAGCAGTTTCCTGTAGGTGGCGATCTCAATGTCCAGAGCCAGCTTCACATTCATCAGTTCTTGGTACTGGCGGACTTGCAGGGCCATATCCTGCTTGGCTCTCTGGAGGGCTTCCTCCAGCTCTCTGATGCGGAGTTTAGCGTCCTTCACTGCCATCTCACCACGCTCCTCAGCCTCTGCAATTTGAGCTTCCAAATTGTTTCGCTAAGAGTAGAAGAAAAACAGAGTAAAGTAAGTAAGAGTAGCACAAAATCCAGGTGCTCCTAACACAGTTTCCCAAATTACTGCTGAGTATTGAAGAATAAAGTTATCAAATCTAAGAGTCGCAAAATATACAACTATAACTGAAATCTGTAATTCTCACCTGTGATTTCACCATGTCAATTTCAGACTGAAGCCTCATTATCCTGCGGTTCATGTCAGCGATCTCAGCCTTGGATGACTTCAGGTCATCACCATATCTACCTACTGACTGCTGCATCTCTGCATACTGGTACAGAGACAGGGACAAGTCAGACTGACACATCAAACACATAAACCATACCAGGTTTTTTTTTTTTTTTTTTACATTTTATATATCACAGAAACATTCTGATTGCAAACCCCAGATGGACCAGGTGGACTGCAGCAACATTTGTACACATACGGGTTTTGTAAAGTATGGTAAGAGAAAGTGAGTTGTGACAAGAGGTCAAGAGAATACATCCTATACCCTCAGCCACATTCACCTAGTTAAAGTCATGTACTGTGCAGTGCAATACACTATTATATTATTGTACACTACAATGTACAATAACAGGAAGTTGAAGGCTGTCATTTCAAATAACACTGAGTGGTCTCACCTTAGTCTGGTACCATGACTCGGCCTCGGCTCTGCTACGGTTGGCAATGTCTTCATACTGGGCACGCACTTCAGCAACGATGGCGTCCATGTCAAGGTTACGGCTGTTGTCCATCTCAACCACAACAGATGTGTCCTTGATCTGGCCCTGCAGCTCATTAATTTCCTACACAGGATAACACATGAACATAAGCGGGGAAGAAATGGCTGAAAACACCATTTGTTTTAAGATGACTTATAGCTAAATCAGTTATTCCTTTGAGTTGCCTCTAAAAAAGTAAAATAAGGTTATTACTGCATCAAAGATCTGCCTCAGGAACTCAATCTCATCAGAGAGCCCATCGAGTTTGGCTTCCAGGTCCACTTTGATCATGTAGGCTGCGTCAGTGTCCTGCACAGGAAAAGACAACATTAAGGAATATTCATCCAACCCTGAGGTACAAATGTCCATTGTGCATGCTCATTTTGCTCAAAAGCTAATTATAGTTTAAACATCAAGAATAAGATAATAAACCTAAACAGACCTTCTTTGTGAGGACAAAGGTGTTCTCACACTCATTGCGCTTGTTGATCTCATCCTCATACCTGGAAAATAAGAGAATTGTAAGATGCATATATACCCTTTAAATCAGAATGAATTATAATTCTTTACTAAATGTATTGTAAGCTTTTCAGTTTCTTCTGGTTCACATGCTGGTTATATATATTCACAAAATATATTTATTAATATATAAATATATATAATATAATACAATTCACATTTGTGTGAAAGGGTGAAAGGGTGAATGTGGCACGTAGTGTAAAAGCGATTTTAGTGGTCGGAAGACTAGAAAGCCGCTATACAAGTACAGGGCCATTTACCATTTACCATCTACTAAAACCTGTAATCAAAATTTTTGTCACTTGGGGGCAGCAGAAACAGGCAAGTTAACCCAACACTGATTTATTTAAGTTGAGACTGTATGGTGAGCGTTAGCAAACGGTTGCCTAGTTACACAGCAGCACATATGGAGACACGCTAGCATTCATTTGGAGTCATGTTTCTGGCCATGTAGCAAGTTCAAGATTCACTCTCATTTAGCTCTGTTCTGGTATTTGTTGAGCTTGCCCCCAATGTATTATGGCTGAGTGCCTAATGCCGTAGCGCAGGTTTGATATCCAACCTGTGGCCGCACGTCATCTCCCCTCTCTCTCCCCCTTTCCTGTCAATCTTCAGTTGTACTATCAAATAAGGCAAGAAGCCCCCCAAAAGCTGTAGAGCTCAGAAATCTCCCCTGCAACCAATCATCTGGGGATTTCTAGTTACAAGGTAGTTGCTTGACCGGGGGCGAGAACAGTTGCTAACATGCTCTCCGCCATTCTCCTTAGTAGTGAAACAAACTGGAGATATAGCGAATCACTTGGTAACACAATAGAGTTTCTTAAATCATTGAAAATGGATATCTCAAGCAATGTTATATGGTTTGACAGAGTTTATGGGGGCATGTCTACTGCATGTCACCGCTCTTTAAAGACTTAAGTCTTTGTTTCCACCTAGGTTTAGCAAAGAAAGCTGGAAGATTGTCTTCAGTTTCTACTGAGCAAAGTGTTTAAAGTCTGGCTTGTGAGTGTACTATGAACCACTGTCACATTACATGTATTCATTTTTCCATTATTAATAGAAAATGAGCTGTGAGAGTGAACCAAAAATGTACAGTTGAGCTGAAAGACACCAAAATGGTCTGAAGAGCTGAGGGGAACTGTAGAATCTGTGAATAATTATGGGTGGATTTGACACTATGTCTGTGTCCTTTAAAGTAAAAGCAGTAATTTGATCCATTGTTAATATAAAAACATTGATTATAGGCACTTTAAGGAGTTAGGATAACACTGGTTAAACCCACTAATTCACTCACTTGTTTTTGAAGTCCTCAACCAGGCCCGTCATGTGATGCAGGTCGGACTCTAGTTTATATTTTTCATGACCCAAGTTGTCTAGCTGCTTACGCAAGTTGGCAATGTAGGCTTCAAACATGACATCAATGTTGGAGTGAGACGTGGTCTGTTCCTGCAGAAGTTTCCACTTGGTCTCAAGCATTTTGTTCTGCTGTTCTAGGAAGCGTACCTGCAGAGAGAAAAGGAAAATCAAAAAAAAGAGAGAAATTAACAACTGTACCTGTACCATACAGAAGGGGTATGGAGTGGATGGCTGAGTTTTAGATTTTACGTATGAATATATGGATGGATATGACAAGTCTGATGAATAAAAGTATAAACACTATAATGTATGGAGAGAGTGGTCAGGCAGACATGAGAAAGAATGCATGTAAAGAGAAGGTGGGAGTGACTCAAAAAACATGAATTGATTCACTTAGTTTGTTAAGGACAAAAAACGTGTGAAGATTGACTGAAAGAAAAATGACCAGTTTAACTTCTCCAACTTCCAACGCACTCTATATGTCACATCAATTACTCCTTGCTTAATCCATCGCTCAGTGTTTCAACACAAAGAGGCTCTGTTTCCCAATTGTGACACAGTTTGCCCCTTTACAACTTTTCTATTCAGTGTCTTGACCCTGGGTGGGGTCCTGCTACCACTCAGCAAACAAGATGGGAGACACACAGCTCTGTATGTGTGTGTATGTGTGTGTGCCATATCACGATGGTATGTAGAGGAGGGGGTGAGAGCTTTGTTTTATGGTCTGAAGAATTAGTCTCAGTGAGGGTGATTGATTTACAGTTTAACATTACTCCAGGGTGCCTCGTTAAACAAAAGAGTTACAATGGGTGATAACTAAAGAATCTGATCAATCTTAGGTGGAGAGAAGTGCTTCTGTCTGATAGGACAGCTGACAGACATTTCAGTAATCTCTGATAGTGGGTGCATAACAACAATTTATACTTATGTCAATAAAATGGCTTCCTTGATTATTATACAGCCAATAAAGTGAGTATTGTTCAGACTGTGGTAGATATTTTTACTGTAGTGATCCACTCCACTCAGTATTTAACAAGCTTGTCTTGCAAACCATTCCCTGGCACTCCCACTCCTTTTCCTATCTGTAAGTGCTTGTGCAGGCTGTGAATAATCGGGCAAGAAAATTTGAAAATAACTCAATACATAATTTTGCAGAACAAGAAAGACCTCTAAGATCATAACCTCAAAATCTCTCTTCACATTGGGGTGCACCCCTTCAAGTTAAATTGTTCTGTACTCTGTGTCCATGTTGATCCTCTTATCTGAGTTCTATGATCTCACCTGAAACTGAAAGCATGTGGGGAAACTAAGGCATTGCTCAAAACAGCCTGTATCCTAGCTTTTAGCAGACTTCATATTGTTATATATACAGATTTTCAGAGGGATTGTCTCAAGGATGATCTGCATTGTGAAATCAGAGCTCTTTCACCTTGAGTTATTTTGGCTGGCAATAAATTAATTTCCTCTGAAGTTCCTGGGTTATTTTTCTACTCTGTGTGGAATTTAATAAAGCTTTATCCCAACAGTCATAGTAACCAACAGAACATCAGAAACAAAACCTATAAAGCCGTTGCAATTGCTGCAGTTTTACTCATGTAGCTTTTTATGTCATAAAGGCAAAAGTCCTGCTAGAACAACATCAATCTTAAATTGCCTGACCTTGTCAATGAAGGAAGCAAAGCGGTTGTTCAGGGTCTTGATCTGCTCCTTCTCCTGGGTGCGGATTGCCTGGATGGTGGGGTCAATCTCCAGGTTCAGGGGGGCCAGCAGGCTCTTGTTCACGGTCACCGCTGTGATGGGAGCCATCACTTCATTGGCCATGCCACCACCCATGCCTCCACCGAAGCCCACATAGCCAAACTCTGCCCCACCTCCTCTTTGTCCAGAGCCCCCAGCAACATACCCACCGACCACTTTAAAACCCCCAGCGCCCACAGCAGCACCACTGCTGCCCACACCCCCATAGGAGCTGCGGACAGCGTAGCTCTGCTTGCCACTACCCACACCACGGCCACCATAGCCGGAGAAGGAGCGGCTGCTGAAGCCCTGGGATGGGCCCCTGGAGGAGGACAAGGTGGAGAAGGTAGTGGTCTTCACAGCTCTGACAGACATGGTCACAGAGGGTGTTTGTAGCACTAAGGTGGTGTGAGAGAGGAGAGACTCTGCAGAGGGAAGGAGAGTCAGGCAGATAGACCCTCCCTGGTCCCTGGTGCTATTTATCAGAGCAGGGGAGGGACCCTGCTGAGGTGTGATTGGTTGGTGTTCTCAGCGGGGGAGTGAAGGATGAGGGGGGCGAGGGAGAGAGATGAGGGAATGTTAGGGAAGAAAATCGCATCGTGTTACAGCATTTACAGCACACAAAGTGTGTTGGAAAGAGTCCAAGAATTACATAATAGTTAGTTGTGCCTGTTTTTATAAAACTACTGCAGAAACACTGAAACACTGGAAGACTTTCTGAGTCTTGTCTGCCTTTGAGATGTTTATGAAATGCCAATTTCCATACTTGAAACATAACATTGTTTTACATTATGACAAAGCCTATTTTGCATTCCATAAAATTATACTGTACTACAGTATACATCTTTGAAATATCCTCTGTGCACACACATTACACACACGCACACACACACATGCAACACCAGAATATGAAGTCAAACCTTGGGTATAATGAACAGGCACATAATTTTAAGACCTCCTTTTCTACTTTACAACAGTTCTCATAGACGTGACATATTGCAAAGTAAATTGTGGTTGTCCAGTGTGATGTGCTTTATGTGTTTGTGGGCAGTGACTGTATGTCTCATAATTGTGGGAGAACCAGATTTACCCATTGAATATGTTCCACTATCTACTATGTTTCCACTATCTACACGAGTGTTTATAGATTGAGTGCAACTGATTTTGATGTTGCAACAAATCCTTGCATGAAACATTTAATAATGTAACCAGAAACGGTTAAAAAAGAAAAGTAGACTTAAGTAGACTTTTACAAGTAGTACTATCTAAAACAAAAAAAAAGTAAGTTCCTGTGTTTAAAGTCTGCAAATTGCACAATTACAAGGTGGAGCTTGCTGAATGTGTCCCTTATCAGCAATGATCAATGGACCAAACCAGGCAATGCACACACACACACACACACACACACACACACACACACACACATAGTCAAGGACTATTGATGGACATTCCTTCCAGCCGTGTGGGGAGCAAACAGAGTTTTTTACTCAGAACCCAACCTTTCCAAAGCCATAAATACCCATAAAAACACTGAAAACTGAAAGACTAGATAGATAGATAGATAGATAGATAGATAGATAGATAGATAGATAGATAGATAGATAGATAGTGTATGTGTATCTTTGTTTCCATGGTTGCACATATTATACATCAAAACACATATTTGGTAAGGCCTTATCATTTAGTGACAGTTTTATTTAAAACATGAACCTCAACCATCATCTGAAACTGTGGAAACCATGATTCATTTACCACTCTGCAGATTTATGACTCATGATCTTTTCTGAGTGCTTCAATGACTGTTGCCTAATTTTTACCAGAATAAACCCCTTGCTCCCTCCAAGATGCTCACCACACCCCTATCCTTTTGTTTTCAAGGTTTTATATGTTTTTTTAAAAAAAACTTCACCTACCAGCTAATGAAAAGAGACGAATCCCAGGGTACTGTGCTGTGTGGAAACTAAATGTGAATAGGGAAAGGGAGAGCATGTGGTGGAAAGTACATGTTAACAACCTGAACAGGACTTTCAGGCTTTGGACCAATCAAAAAATGCATGTTTAGCTTGGCTTGTCTCAAACAGTGACGTAACTCTTCACAATGGAGCTGCTGTGCTAAACTTGGAGGCAACCATATACAAGTTAACCAGTTTTTGTTGTTTCATTAAGTCAGCCACTGCAACAAATAAACCAACTGGAGAACAAAGCTGTATTTATTTCACGCTTGATGACTTACTTTTTTTTCTACCTCCAGATAAGATAATGCTTCATTCTTTCTGCATTAGAAAAGTAAGATGGTAATTTAAGAAGCTAACCCCCTGACCTGAAGTCTCTTGAGAGGCCAGTGATGTTTTGGTTTGTATGAAGCTGCTATATGACACATCAAGTCAGGAATGTGCTGAGAGAGACACGTACATGCTACAAGACTGAAAGGAGGGGTGGGATGGACGATGAGCAAGTGGGGGATATGAGAAGACAATTAGCAAAGATAAGAAATAAACCTATTTCACAAGGACTGGCAGACTGACTGAGATGTCCAGTAAGAATGGGGTGATGATGTACAGTAAACGCAGGCTGAAAGCTATAGCAAAGGTGGTGACATCACTCCTGCATGCATCTTCACATTATAATATGGTTATAATGAACTTGATAGATCCAGTGCATTGTGAATATAAACAAAATTAAACTTAAGTTTACAATTACGGAAAAAGTAGTGAAAATAGAACAGGGAAATGCAGAAAAAAGGGAAAGATAAATGCTATAAAAGCCTGTCTATACAAATATATTTTAAGAAATTAAGGCTTTGGTTTCAGCTGTTGTCTTAAAGTTGGACTTTGTTGCCGAAATTATCAGTAAAATCAGTTATAAAACTCTCTTGCAGCTTCGCCCTGCGATGCCTGTGCAAACATAGAGCCTCCAGTACAGACATGACGGAAACATGTTAAACAATGGGAGTGAACTCATTATAACAAGTCAGGGGGAGGTAACGAGGTACAAAACATGCACTAATGTGTGGACACACTGTCCCCTCACTACAGTAGCTTTAACGTTAGTTGCTTTGAGACTTATGCCACCTAGTGACCGAAGGACGGAAGTGGACAGGAGGAGTGGCATGATGTGGTCACAGGTACCGTCACTGTTCCTCTCCGAATAATCTACTTCATGAAACTGCATCTCTGTCCACCACTTTGGTTACATACTCATCGATGAACCCCCTGACGTTTCCTCTTTCCACCACCATTAGGTTGACATTTGTGATTCAAAGTGAAATATTTTGACAACAATTCTATAGACTTCTGTGAAACTTGCTACAGATAATAGTAGTAGATAGTATAAGTTAAAATAAATGTGTTGATCCCTTAGCTTATTATCTTGTTAGGACTGCTTTTAGTATTAATGCAGCAGACACTGAATCTCTTCCAAAGTGACCTAAAACTGAATACTCATACTAGTACATATTTTAGGAACGTACGTAATAACCGTTCATTTCCTGTCTATATTTCCTGATTTGTTTGTTGATTTGTATGGTTCTAGTTCCCATGGTAACTATTTTAACTTATTATGTTTGTTAATTTTGCACATTTGTATTTTCCATGGTGTAATCTCAGCATCATTCTAAATGAGGATCACAGTCAATGATTTCTCCCAGAAATAAAACAAATGTTATATGGATGAACGACGGGAGTTGACTGGAGAAATTGGAGTATAGGTGACTCCCTACTAACAGTTCTAACTCATTACTCATTTTATGTCTTCCTGTGAAATGTCTTTGCTCTAGAAGTGGACATGACATCCCACAGAGAAAATGTCTCTTAGTCGACACATTTCGCTAACCTCTGATGTGTAACCCCAACACTTTGCTGAAGGTTTTGGCCATAAAACTGGAATATAGACATTTCAAAAATAAACCACCAGATCACCACTTTTCGTACCTTTTGAGCATCTTGTGTAAGTCAATAGGAGTGATCAAGAGAAGGAGAGAGGATGTAAGGGAGCAAGTGTGTAAGAGTGTATCACACTCACATGTGCGTATTTCTTCTTGCGTGTGTCAGGGCGCACACAATCATTTGCATATACATCTATGCAAATACATTTTTTGGACTTTGTATATAAGCATATGAGAGGATTCATTCTGCACTGGGGCTGGGGGAAGGGAAGCCAAAGAGAAAGAGGGAGGGATGTTAAGTTCATTCAAGGCAAGGCTGAGAGCGGTAATAATCTGACAGTTGTCCAAGATTTGTGAAGCACATAAACTACTGTGGTAGTTTCCGGATTCCTGCTGTGTGTTACCATGACTCACAGACTCCAGCTTCTTCTCTTTTCTCTCTTTACTTCTTTTACTGTCTTATCTGCGAAAGAGGTGTGCAGTTCAGATCCAGACTATTGTACTGTATATGGGGAAATAAAATCTGGGGAGTTATCCTTTCCAAGAAAAAAACTCTTAAGGACTGAAAAATCTCTTCATTTAAAAGCAGGGATATGTTCCATTAATATGCAAGGTATGTTATAAAACCACTGGTTACGGTACTTCCCTGTTTCTATTTCTCAGTTTCTTGTTTTTTTTGGGTCCTGGCAGGCAAAGCAATAGTTGCCGACTTACATCCAAACAAACAAGACAGTGGTGACGCTGTCATGAGGTATGAGTCATGCTGATTAAATTCATCGTTCCTCTTTATATGTTCCTGTCTGCATCACAGGCCGGATTTGTCAGTGTAACCTTTGCTTTTTCTCTGTTTTTGCTCTCTGTTTTTTCTGTCTTCTATTATTATAAGTATTATTAAAAGAGACAACTAAATGAATGCACACTGAGGGGCTGGTGTGAAGTGTGAGAAACACTGAAACTTGATCAACCATGAAGGTGAGGTAAGATCAGGAAAGAAAAGAACTGGGTTTTATAGAGCTCAGGAGGGTGTTTGAGCCTTTGCCAGTTTCCCCTGGGGGTGGTTTATTTAGTTTGTTATCCTGTTCTCTAAGGCCCAAAATCCTCTTTGACCACAACTTTAGCCTCAGTTAAACCTATATGAACTTTTCTAAAACACTGCGTATTGCAGCTTGGTTTTTAAACGCAGTTTCTTTCCTGCTTTTACTTATTTGCATTGCTTTGCTAATTCCTCTTTCAGGGGGCAGTAAATGACTACCACCCTGTGGCACTCTACCCCATTCTGATAAAGTGCTTTGAGAAACTGGCACATAAAGAACAACATCCCTGCCTGTCTGGGCCCTCAGTTTGCATTCAGAACCAACAGATCCACAGACAATGTCATCTCCACTGCTGTCCCTTAGATTAGATCAGTCTTCACCACCATTTGTGATTTAGTCACTGTGATACAGAAAAAGGTTATGTAATTATAATAATAATAATAATTTTATCTATAAAGCACTTTTCAAGCTTGCACACTAAGTGCTTACCAAATTACAACAAACCATTATACATTAAACATTATACAAAACACAAATCACAATCAGAAACCCAAGTGGGAACCACCCATGAACACACAGGATTCACATGGATCATTGAAAAAGCAGCAATCAAAAATGGTTCTCATGATAGGTACCACACCTGATAAGGCATCAAAGATATTTGTTCAAAATCCGCAACAGAACTGATTTGCGCAGATAATCACCTGTAGTATGATGAATGAGGGCATCCTTTCTTTCCTTTTGATTGTATTTTGAACAATGTGCTATTGGCTTACTTTCTTTCTTTATGAATCCAGTCTCTTCTTGTGTCTTCTGGGTATATTTCAAGGTTTCCTTTTACAGTATGGCAGGTTTCATTGTCAATACTGTTCATCCTATTGTCTGTGTAGAAATATAATTGAGATTGCAATTATCAGTAAATCTGTAACATCTTTCTAAATGCAGCTACTCTGGTAAACAATTTAACACCACGCTGTATACAGTTCCTCTTAATTCATTTTGCACTTTAAGAGTATAAACCAGTAAAAACATGCCCCCTCTCCCTCTTATTTAAGCTACAACTAAAGGAAACAGTGCTGCAGCTAATATATATCTCACTTTCAGTTTAGTCTAGATAGGAAGGTTGGCAAAAATCAGTTTATTTTGGGGCCTGGCTGTCCACAAACTTAGAAACTATGTAGTTAATGGTAGACATTATACCTTTTATGGGCAAACCAAAGGAATTTGATTGCATGCTTACAAAGTGAAAGAATATTCTACCCTTTAACTTTAACTTTTAATTCTCTTCCAGATTTCTCTGTTGAAGGCTGTACTTTAGCCTGGACAACACAACTCTTACTGCTCCCTTTGTTGTTGTGGTTTATGTGATCTCTAAAGTTCAGTAAAATAAACTAATTTGCTTTGGCTGTTCAAATGTGAAGGGTTTTTTTTCAACAGAAAAATGCCTCACACATTGCCTTGGAGACAGAAAACACACTGTCGGTTTAAAAAAGGGAACATGTGGGTGAATGAGAGAGAAGGAAGGGGGGGCAGGAAAGGAGGACTGAGGCGATGTTAAAGTGGGCAGGGTCTGAAAGACCAGCTGCGATTGAGGGAGAGAAGTAGGAGTATAAGTTCCCCTACTTCCCACTGCCAGCGTCACTTTCTAGTCCGGCCAGCAGTGAGTCTCCATCTCATTTTTCACCTCATTCTCTGTCGTGCCTAAACTTCTCCAAGATGAGCTTCAGAAGATCCAACATGCAGCCAATCTCTTCTTCCCACATCTCCATGACCCGCTCCACACCTCAGTATCGTGCAGCCAGCATTTATGCAGGTGCTGGTGGACACGGTGCCCGCATTTCCTCTGCCTCCTCATCTTCCCTGCGGTCTGGTGCCCCAATGACCTCCTCTTCCTCTGCCTTCAAGCTGAGCAGTGGAATGGGCTCTGGTTTTGGTGGTGCCGGTGCATCTGTGGCGACCGGTGGTGGTGCTGCTGCTAGGATCCAGGGCAACGAGAAGGGAGCCATGCAGAACCTGAATGACCGATTGGCCAACTACCTGGAGACGGTGAGGAACCTGGAACAGGCCAACAAGGAGCTGGAGATGAAGATCATGGAGGCTCTGGAGAAGGGGGGGCCCGACATGAGAGACTACAGCAAGTATGAACCCATCATTGATGACCTACGCAGACAGGTAAGCATAACAAACAATGCTCATTAAATGAACAGGTGAAAGTTGAATATGTAATGTTCTAAAACTGGGATTCTCTGGTTGTTCGTTGTAATCTTTGATTCAGCGAGGTGAGACAGGCAATGAAAAATGTGAGGGGTATGAGTGTTTGAGTGCTTTAGAAATGCTTGATGGGGCCTCTAATATGAGAATTAGTAAGTGCCTGTGATGGCACTCATCATCACGGACAATGTTTCAAATGTAGACCTACTTGTGGAAATAAGTTTTATAAGTGTTTTCATTATTTATCTAATGCATAACTTTGACGGTTAAGGTTGAGAAAACTTATGCTCAGATGGGCAGTCTTTCCTTTGTAGGTTATCACATTTCTTGCTAGAGAATGAAGGGTGTGGTTGCTAAGCTCTAACCCTCCCCCATTAAACTGTTCATGCCACAAAGTGGCCATAACTTCCTCTGATGAATCACCAACACGCGGGTAGCATCACGAGAGACAGACTGGAAAGCTCTCAAACAACCTTCACTAGACAAAAGCATTTCCAAATGGTTCTGCAAATGCTGGTTCTACAAGAATTCTCCAGTGTAGGAGGGCCTCAATGTGAAACAGATGTGTGGTAATGACACACACACGCACACACAAAGGATCTTGGACTGCCAGCTGTGTGTGTGTGTGTGTGTGTGTGTGTGTGTGTGTGCGCACACATAGCTGCATGTGAGTCCACTGGTTGTATAACAATCAGCTCCAGTCAGCAGAGTCAAATGTCACATTCTTCTACAGACCCCAGATCTTCAATGTCACATAATGACACATTGATGGTGGCATGTTTTTTTCGACACATAAAGGGACGAGTATTCCCCTTTTTCTTCTGAGACAGGATATCATAGACACATTCGAAATGATGAACTCACAAACACGCTCACGCACAAAGAATTTTACAACCCCCGCACACATAAACACATATATACAAAGAAAATGACAGACAGAGACAGTGCAGCTGTGAGAAAATTGGAGAGAATAAAAATCTCTCTGTAAGACAGGAAACCCATTTTTCCAACAATGCTAAAACAAACCAGATTCTGTTTTGGCACAGGAACATCCCCTCTTCCTGTCCTTCAGTTTGTGGTTCCTTTTTTCACTGAATGTTACTATGGATTCAACTATGTTGTGGCCCTTGTTTTTAATCTGATGCTGGGGTTTCTATTGTTACATAAGGGAAATAATGATTAAAATCATATGTTTGATTTTGTAGCTCTGTGAAACATTGCTATCTCATAGCATATGATGAATAGAGCAGGTTATTAATATTATTATTTAATGTTATAAGGAGTTCAGTCTAGACCTGCTCTATTTGAAAAGTGTCCTGAGATAACTTCTGTTATGAATTGGTGCTATACAAATAAAATTGAATTGAATTGAATTGAATTGAATCATTCAGTTATGCATTGAAGGAAGAGGCTTCTGGTTAAACAACTGCATTATTTCTATCCAGGAAAATAAAGGAAAAAGACAAAACAACCTTTCAGTTTTTGACATCCAATTGTGTAAAAACGGCAACTTTGTCATAAATTCTTTTTTTCTGTCCAGATCTTTGATAAGATTTCGGAGAATGCTCGTTTTGTGCTCCAGATCGACAATGCCCGTCTTGCTGCTGACGACTTCAAAGTAAAGTATGTTGTTTTAAATTTAATCTGTGTTGTCTTATATATACCAAGCTTACGTATATGACTGAGACACATCTAAGCTCAATCTTCACTTATCTGATAGAGTAGGACTTTAGCAACAGCAAGTTTATATCTGAAACACTTAAGTAAAACTTAAGTCATGACATTTTGTAACTTTATACTACCCAGCACAGTGTGAATAACAGCTGTCTGTAATAGAGTTTGTTTCTGTGCACTGCTACAGGTTCGACAATGAGACGGCAATCCGTCAATCTGTGGAGGCCGACATTGGTGGGCTGAAGAGAGTCATAGATGATACCAACATGGCCAGGATGAACATCGAGAATGAGATTGAAGCTGTGAGGGAGGAACTTGCTTTCCTAAAGAAGAACCATGAAAATGTGAGTTTACAGAACATCCAGATTAATCATCTTACTTTACTACTCACTTCACACATCCTAAATGTTTTTGTTCATTACTCTCTTTCTGTCGGGCCTGCAGGAGGTGATGGAGCTGAGGAATCAGATCTCCCAGTCAGGCGTGCAAGTGGACGTTGACGCTCCCAAAGGTCAGGACTTGTCCCAGATAATGGAGGAAGTGAGGAACAACTATGAGAAAATTGCTCTGAAGAATGCAGAAGACCTCAAACAATGGCATGAAAATCAGGTGATACAGTGTTAGTAATAATACATAAATACATGTACAGGAAATATCTTGTCTATTGTCTAACACCCTTTCCCTGTCTTCCCTTCAGATTGCGGACGTGCAGGCGCAGGTATCGCAGAACACGGAAGCTCTCCAAGGAGCCCAGATGGAGATTGGTGACTTAAACAGACAGATACAGACTCTGGAAATTGAACTTGCGTCCCAACAGAGCTTAGTAAGCATGCATTTTACACGTGTTTCTCATACATATTAATTTTATTAACAAACCGGAAATAGTCAAATCCTCTCAATACCCTGGCCATTACATAACACTCACTCAGAATTGTTGTCATACTTTAGTAAAGCAGCAAAACATTCCTAAATAATCCTTTTCACAAAGGAGTTGTTCCAAATTAGACAAAAAAAAAACTTTGGCATACTTTTCATTCCTCCTTTTCATTCCTCCTTTTCCATCCTTCATCAGAAAGCCTCCTTAGAGGACACATTACGCAACACAGAGCAACGAAACAACATGGAAATGGAGAAGTACAACAGCATTATTATCCATCTGGAGGAGGAGCTGACCAAATTGCGTGCAAACATCCAGCAACAGACCCAAGATTATGAGGCGCTGCTCAACATGAAGATGAAACTGGAGGCTGAGATTTCCACTTACAAGGGTCTGCTGGATGGTGGAGACTTCAAGTAAGAGTTATAAAGAGATGGAGGAGAAAAAAACAGATCGAGGCAATGTGATGATGGTGGTGGAGGTGAATACTAAAATCATTTGTTATCATGGTTTGCATGGTCAAGTATAACTACATCATGAAGTGGGCAGTAGTTCCAGTCAGTTCACACGACACGTAAATATTTTAAAAGTACATTTTTGTGTTTTGTACAGGCTCCAGGATGCACTGGATGAGCTGGCCGCCACAATCTAATTTGGAATAAAGAATCTTGGACCATCCCAACAAAGAAAGCAGAACAACCCACAACTATCCATCGTGGAAAAAAAGTTCCATGCTTCTCCGAACATCTGAAGCCAATTTTTAAGACCACATTCCGTGTAAACCATAAATGAGTTAAGCAATTCTGAATAAAGGCATTTGACCACACCACAGTGAAACAGGGCTATTTTAAAAGCAAACAGTGCCTGATCTGACAATGAAATAAAAATGAATAAAACCACTTCTTGAGTCACGGTTTCTGTGCATTTGTTATTGTAACATAATATAAGAATGTGCATGTTATGTTTTGTGATATGTGTATGTCAGACTAATTGCAATATCATAGCCCTCGCTCATTAAATAACAATAACTTCAAAGGTATTACATGTTTATAGAAAGATGATTAGATCATTTCTGTTGGCAAAAAAACACCCAAATTACATGATTTCACAGGATGTTTAAATCTGCCTTAATTGATTTTTGGCCACTAGCGGGCAGAATAACTTTAAAACAAGCCAGGAGACACATGGTTGTGAAATATTATCACTTTACACATTTTTTATAACATGCTCAGTCATGTTTCTGGTCAAATGACAAAAGTCCAATATGAACTGGCTTTTTATCTCTGGCTTACAGCTTTTATAGACTATGTATATCATATAATGTATTATAATATGAAGAATGTATTTTTAAATACAGTGCATACCTAGAGTTTTGTTAGTTGACTTTTAATACTCTCCTAAACTCAACATTTGAATAATTTATTTAATCCTGTTCTCATCCGGTTATTAAAAAGAAGTTACTTGTGCTTTAGTTGAATATGTTCATGTTATGTTATACTTATATTTGAGAGGAAGGTTTGTATATTCATTTCACAGCTGAAATGCCTAGTTTCCATATAAAGAATTTACACACAAAACTAATGAGTTTATAAAATACGATGCTTTGTTAACTATGCACCATTATATAAAGTTGTAGAATCAACATCACCTTTAACACTAAAATGCTGCTCACACATAATGCATTAGTCTGATAATAAAATATATGATGATGAAGGTGTGAAGGGGTGTCTTCAAAATAGTTCATGTAAAATATGCATTAACAGCCCAACCTAGGAGGATTAAAAATACTAGAATCAATAACACAATACTTATTTGGCTGATCAATGTCATTTGTTTAAGCAACACCCTTATTAAGTTATAGCTAATGCGTAGGATTCTTTTGAACATGATCAAATTATATGTACATTATTATTATATTATTATTACGTTAACAGTTTTGAATTTTAAAAAAATGTGGCCATGAACTCATTAATGTCACAGAGAAGCACATATTTCATCTTCTAGCAGTAAAGCACCAAACAATATAGAACTGGACACATGACTTGGGTATGGAAGCCAATTTCCGCCAATGTGAAAGGGGGAAAGGATTCTATATATATATCTATATTATAATGAGAACTTTCTCAATATTTTGTCTACTATCTCAAATAAGGACTTTGTGATACTAAGTCCTTATTTTGAGAAAGTTTCTTATTATAATGTCTTCCAGAATCCTTTTTTTCCCTGTCACATTGGAGGATATGGGCTTCCATACACTTCCAGACTTACAGCCTACTTTAATTATTTAATTGATCACACTTTCACTCATTGTTCATGTTAATTGATGATAGGTTATTTAGCAGCTATAGACATTTGAAGCTGAATTGTTGTTTTTGGAAAAGTCCTTTGGAAACTATAAGACTATAAGAGACTACATTTGGAGACTATGAGACTATAAGAGACTATATTTGGGGGCTATAAGACTATAAGAGACTAAATATAGCCTGAGCCGGCTTTACCTCCTGAGGAGGCTCAGGTCCTTCAATGTCTGTAACAGGATGTTGCAGATGTTCTATCAGTCTGTTGTGGCGAGCACCATCTTCTTTGCTGCGGTGTCCTGGGGTGCGGGCATTAAGGCAAAGGACGCCAACAGACTGAACAAATTCATCAAAAAGGCTGAATATGTTGTTGGCTTGAAGCTTGTCACCCTGGAGGAGGTGGTGGAGGAGAGGATGCTGGCAAAACTGCTGGCAATCATTGACAATCCCTCCCACCCCCTCCACACAACACTAGATAAGCTAAAGAGCAGCTTCAGCAACAGACTCATTCAACCCCGCTGCTCTAAGGAACGATATAGAAAATCGTTCCTCCCCACTGTTATAAGACTGTATAACTCATCTGCCTCTGTCAGATCCACAATTACAGCACTGGACTAAATCTACCTGTGGAACATATACTATCATATCATATGTGATATGTGTTAATATAAACCATGTTGATATTATATATCATATTTATACAATATATTATTATTACTATTATTATTATTATTATTATTCTATATTACAACTATTATTATTATTATTATATAACAATATAACAATAAGATATTATCTAATGTATGTATATCTTCTTGTATAGTCAAGTATCTATTATACATATGCTATATATCATATCATATATTGTGTATATATATTACAGTATGTATATACACACACCTTGCACAGGCTGAATATATGACACATGTTTACATCATATCAATATAGATGTATATTATCTATGTGTATACATGTATATCTGTTCAGTCATCATATTATATATACATATTATTATTATATGATTATAAATATTATTAATATTATCATTATATGCTGTTATTATTATATACTGTTATTAACATTAACACTACCATCATGTCATCAGTACTATTACCACCATCTTGCAACTACAACTCATTGCACCTTATCTATCTATTTATCTTTTTTTATCTTTTCTAAAAGTATTTTATTCTATTGTTGTATTTTATTCTATTGTATTTTATTGTATTTTAATGTACCTGGCTGCTATGACGACCCAATTTCCCTCCGGGGATTAATAAAGTCTATCTATCTATCTATCTATCTATCTATCTATCTATATTTGGAGACTATAAAAGATAAATAAATGAACAACCGTGAGAGTTAAAGCTAACGTTAATGTAGTTGAGTGACAGATATGATAAAAACCTAGTGAAAAGAAGGTAACAGTCACTGTAGTCAACTTAAGCAGATGTGAGTACGCAAACAAGGGAGGAGACAGGCCCGTGAACGCCGATGCGCGCTCCCGATAATAAACCTCTGACGCCTTCATCCGGGAACTACTACGAACTCGCTCTCCAACATGGCGGCGTCAGGTGAGGTTTATGAGGGTGAACGATCTGGGTCGGTTGGGGAGGATTTCAGCGGTTTATACATCGATTTAATTAAAAACATTAAGTTTGGGTATTGTTAATGCCTCGTCTTGTTGATTGGCGTCGTTGTCTGGCGTCTATAAATAGGTTCGTCGGTTGTTTTGGGCCGGTAAAGACGCAACTGCTGGTGGAAGGCGAATGAACGAAGCAACGACTTGCACAATCTGAATTTTTAACCTACAGATTACATGCGGTCTTTTCCTATGAATAGTCATTTCGCGGCGTTAGGGCTTCCCGCTTTCGGGGTTATACGGTATTTCATGTATTGGACATTGTGTGCCGTGTTATGAAATGTTTCTAACTGCGTGCAGAGCTGGCACATTGTATGTCCGTAGCGGGGCTCGCCGTGGCGCTCAGAGCAGATAAGCATCGGGCGCAAGCGCGTTTCGAGGAGGAGGGGTTGGGCCGAGAAGTCCGGGCAGCCCGAGGAGTCTCCCCACGTGTGCAGCCTTGCTCCCGGGTATCGGCGTTTGATAAAACGGGGCAGCTGAGCCCGCTGGGTCGCATGTTAAACACTTCCCTGGCAGCTTCTCAACTTCGTGCCGTCCCATCCGGCCGGCCAAGTCTCGCTCCGGTGATGGCGCACTTGGATCTTGGCGCTGCGACGTGAGCTAGGCCGTAAAACCTAGCCAGCTAAGCAGGGATACTTCCCCCGTCAGCAGTCCTTTGCTGACTAAGCCCGCATAGGCATAAAGACAAAAGGACCTACGTAGTTAGCAAACAACCTGCGGGTTTAGCCTAATAGTTAACTGTTGGCCCTCGCAGTTATTGTGCTATTGTAGCAGCTCCTAGCTTGCTAATGTCACATTAGTGCTGAGCGCTAAGAAAGCTACCTAACAGGCAGCAGATGATTTTTTTTTTTTTTTTTTTTTTTTTTTTTTTTTTTTGGGGGGGGTTTAGAGGGCACAAGCAGTCAAGGCCAGTTAGTAAGGCCTGTTAATTGTAAACAATGACTGAGCATTATGCAGTGGGAAACAGCTGTAAGCCGCCTGTTTTGCTCTCTGTATGTGTGTAGGTTTTTGTAACGATGTGTGTAAAGAATGTCCTGACACCTGGGATTTTCACAATAAAGCTCACAGCCAGCTTTGTTGCTCCCCTTTTTTCTGCCTAAGACCAAAACAAACCAGACCTGCTCTATGAAATGAGCTGTGTGATGCAACTGGCAACTGTTTGCCATACAAAGAGGTAGCATGAGGGATGTACTGCAATGGATACATGACTCATTTATTCATGCTCCTGATGTACATTCCTTGGAAAGGGCAGCGAATGGGCAGCCCAGTGGTCCTGCCTTTTCTGGCCTGCTGCACAGTGACGGTTGTACAGGCAGGCCACTCCCTTTGTGTTTACTTTCATATAGCAAAATAAGTCAGTGTTTTTGTAGTGTCTCACACATTGATATCCCCTTATTTGACTGGACAGCATCGTGCACTACAAATAGTGTTTGTCTGCGCAGAGATGCAGCTGCCTGCATGAGTGGATGCACACACACGGGTCTCTTAAAAACCCAGACTGTTGTTGTGTTGGTGTTTTTAAGGAATGAATCCTTCAGTGGCACAGCATTTCACTGCTTTAATAACTACATTTAGTAAAATATAAGTTGTAATAAAAGCCAGTTTTGACTGTAATTACCAAGTTCTTACACGCCATCTGTAACATCTGGCACTATTCCCAAACTGAATGTGTGTTTGTCTTTCTAGTGATCTATAGCTTAAAAAAACTCTATCAAAGGTACATTTATTGACTATTTAATGGATATAATTTCTTTCTTCTTTTAATGAAGAAAATGGACGACAGTAGGAAGAAAGACTTCCTACTGAGATGCCATTACTTTCTTCCATGGCTGACTCTACTGTTTTCATCTTCCCTTTAGCTAAGAAGAAGAATAAGAAGGGGAAGACCCTCACTCTGACTGACTTCCTGGCAGAGGACAGTGGAGGCAACAATGCGCCCCCCAGCTACCCGGCCAAGTCC